CTGGGGATGATTCACCATATTTTTCCCAATATTTTGATGTATACATACGCATGTATATATATATATGTATAATTATATGTATATGTAAATATTTATATACGTAAAACATGAGAATGGGTTGAAACTAAAGCCTATGGAAACACGCTTCAAACATTGGGATTCATTGCTATTTTTGGTACATGTCTTTGGGATGGGTTAAAGCCTCTGAAAAAACGCCTCAAAGATGGAGATTTCACCGTGTACATTAGGAAGCAGGGGCTCCATGGTGGGTATAACCATCCTTGGTCAGGGGATAAACATCGATAACCTATGAATTTAATAGGTATTCAAAGGGTATAAAGCAACAATTGTTAAAACCTATGAATTTCCCTCATGACCGAGGGGATGAACATCGATAACTACCTACTTTGATGCGAAATGGGTCCGATGGTACATGGCATTTGGTCCACATGTCAGCTCCCTATAATGAGTTGTCAACACAAACCATGACAACCAGATTTTTTTCGCGGCGAATGAATTGCGCATGTACGGGGGTTTCTTCAAATGAGGGATCCCCAAGTCACCATGGCTTTCAATACTAAGCCATGGTCTAATGACTGGATTTGGGGCACCTCGAATTTTAGGAAAGCTCCATTTCAACACGAGTGGAATTTCCGGGGTGATGCTGCCCTTTTGCTGCTCCTGGATTGAGTTAGCCGCCCTGCTGGGTCTTCTATGTGCTGAGCAGCAAACCCCATTCGTTAGTAAAGACTTCATGCTCTTTCACATCCATCCCAGTGTGGTAAACCCAATACTCAATACTCCCGGTGCAGTGCTTAGCCATCCTCGGTCATGGTAGTTCTAAAATTTGCTTTCCGTTTTTCTAATATCCATATATACATATATATATAATATACATTTTCAAATACGTATATATATATATATGTGTGTGTGTGTATGTATATGTTTCCCAGCCATCAACCGCTCCATCAGCTCCATCCGAGCAGCCCCACATGTTTCCCCGAGAAAAGGTCTGAGTCGTGTTGTGCGGCCAGCTCCACCACCACGGTACCCGCGAGATTCAGGGCCGTTCCAAGGCCGATCTGGAGGAACTCGGGGGCTGCCACCTGCCGTGCAAGTTGAAATGGTTTTCAACCTCTTGTATATTTGTATTTGTATATGTATATTTGTATTTGTATATGTATATGTATATGTATTTGTATATGTATATGTAAAGGTATATGTATACTGTAAAATGTATAGTGTATAATGTATGTATATGTATGTATATGTATATATGTATATATGTATATATGTATATGTGTATATATGTAAATGTTAATATGTATATGTATATATGTAAATATGTAAGTATGTATATATGTACATATGTATATATGTATATGTATATGTATATATGTATATGTATATATATATATATCTGTATATGTATATGTAAATGTAAATGTATATGTATAATGTAAAATGTATATGTATATGTGCATGTATGTGTATATGTAAATGCAGATGTAAAAATATAAATGTAAATGTGTATATATATATAAATACATATGCTCATGTATATATATATATACATATATATGTATGTATGTGTGTATATGTATATGTATATGTAAATAAATATGTATTATGTATTATATATGTATATGTATATATATATATGTATATATGTATATATGTATATGTGTGTGTATGTATGTACGTATGTATGAATGCATGTATATATATATACGCATTGTTTCTCCTTCCAGTGTGAAAGTAATGGGACATGGCAAGAATTCGCCTCAGAAACTCTGGAAGCTGAAACAGGATGACCAATCAGCAAGCGTCAGCAAGTTCGCACCTTGGAAAAGCGCCAAAGAAGTCTCCAAAAGGAGGGCGGCTTCTTTCCTGTCACAGCAGTCCAAGTGGCTGTGGTCTCCGTGACTGGCAACAAGCATCCCGCACTCTAAATCGATTGTTTTTTTCCCGGACACTGTGCGGTTTTCAACATCCTCCAAGAGGGTGTTCAATCACAATCACATAATATATATATATATATATAGATATTCACACCAATGAGGTTCACGTCCATCTGCCTGAATTACATATTGGGGATGAGATTTCCATCGATTTTTCCTCACAGATTCCCATCAGATGTCCTTCCAACTTGAAAGTCTTCACCTCCTTCCAGGATTTGCAAGTGAAGTCTTCCATGTCCGTCTCCCAAATGCTGAGCTGCAGGGCCGTAAAGCTGGCTTCGCCACACGAAATGCTGATCTCGGGGCTCGGTAAATCCTTCCTGGGTGGATTATTGCTCGGGGGTTTTGGCATGTGGCAAGCCTCAAAATTTTGAGATGAATATAGTGAATATAGTGAATATATGTGGCATTTAGGAGTTTTTGTGAATATAGTTTGAGGAGTTTGTGTGAATGTCGATCTTTTTTTGGGAAGTTGCAGTAAGAATATTTTCAACATGCTAATGCGCATCTCAAGCCATCCTGATTGGCAAACTCCCAGGGACGGCATCGCGTCCAAAGGCAAGGACTGCTACGTTGACAGCACCACTTCACTATCGGAACATCAACAAGACTGCAGCACCGGGAGGTCTATCCATTTCTCCACATTTCATCATAAACATTCCTTCCCTTTTAATACTTTTCAGGCACTGATGATTTCCCCAACAGAAAAGGCATGATGAAAGTCATCAGATGTCCCGATTGTTTTCAACCACAGTAGCATCTTCTCATTCCCGTGGTTGAATATGTGACCAGCTAGACAAGTATTCACTCCTGAAATGCCAATCCGTGTTTATGAAACCCATATCGTCATCTATTGGGAAAATGTAAACTGTTGCTAGTTTGTATTTTTATGTGTATTGGTTCAAAACCTGTTACTGTCTACCGTATTTTTGGTGGTTTATCCCCGTTGAAAAGGGTTTTACCATCTACGGCAGGGATGATGACACTGCTCAGATTTCCTGGTAAGTGGTTCCACCTGCTTAACACAGCAATCTAAGCCTCATATGTCTGTTGGTTGAATAACCATGATGTTCCTCATCGCATCCAAGCTTGACTGGCTATAAGCCACCCATTCTAGAATCAAAAATACATAATTTTTGTTGGTCAACTCCATTTTTTTATTTGGCGATTTTCGTTGATGAAATCCAATTTTGTCACAATATTTGTGTTGCTGAAACCGTTTTGGCCCTTTATTGAAAGCCATATTTCAATGCCATCGGCTGAGAGTTCGCATCCAGTTGATGATGAAGATCCAAGATCCCCAACGCATCAAACGTGGCTGGCTGGAAATTCCACTAGAAATTTTAAATGAGGGTTTCAATAGGAACGCCACCTATAAATAGTGTATTTTCCAGCACGCCATGTTTGATGACCGGAAGGTATCTGTGCGAGAAAAAAATCATCGCAGCAGCCAGATCGAAAATCCATTCCATATTTCAATTGATCCATATGCCATTGGCCGGACTGGCGAATTTACAAAATTTACCCTCTGGTAATTTAACATAGCTATTGAAAATGACCATTTATAGTGGATTTTCCCATTGAAAATGGTGATTTTCCATAGTTATGTTAGTTTACCAGAGGGTATTTGGTCATCTTATTGATTTTTAAATTTCTGAGCAAAAAGCCAAATATTTTGGTACCTAATCTCCTGTGCGGTGGTTAAATCCAGCTGAACCACCATATTTTTCCTAACTCATATTGAAACGGTATTAACGGGGAACTTCAATTAAGTCCAATGTGTTTGTTGCTGAAATCATACTGTCAACCAGGTTTTCAAGGTCCATTTATTATCGTTAACCTACTTTAAGTCCTAATAGTGGCTAAACCCAAGAACATGTGATTTTTGTTGGTGAAAGTCCGCTAATAGTGAACATCTAAATGTTCCAAAGAATGATAAGCCAATTAATCTGGTCCAATCATATTTCAATGCCATCTTCCAAACACGAATCATCATCAATCATCCTTAATCCTTAATCTTCAACATTAACAATCATTAATTATTCTTAATTTTGTTCCTCAAATCCCAAACAATAATCTACGTAGTTATATCGAATTAATTGATATTTTTACAATCTTTTCAGTTTCCAAACATCTCCTCCAAAAAGTGATAATCTAATTATATCATGATATGTCTTATTCATCATGAACATGTTCCTGATATGGGGGTTTCCTAAAATAAGGGTACCCCCAGTTCTCATCCATTTTATTTTCGGATTTTCCATATTATACCATCCATTTTGGGGTACCTCCATTTATGGAAACCGCCAAATGAAATCACCAAATATTTCTTTGGTGGTAAACTGAGCCTCGTAGAACGGAGTTTAGCCGAAATCCATGATATATCTAACTAATTAACATTGTTAACCATGAACAAGTTGATAACTTCGATATTATCCCAATATTTTCCCAATAATCCATGAACATATCCCCATATTATATATGTTGATATATCTATATAATGAACATTAATTAACCATTTTCCCATTATTTTCTTCCAAGTTTCCCAAAGGCCACAGCCATCGTCGGCACCGCTACTCCGCCCTGGCCCTGCGCTCGCCGCCTACAGCTGCCGCCGCCCAGCCATTGCGGCCGTGGCCACGAGGGCAGCTGCGCCGCGAGGGCGTCGACGGTGGCGGAGAGGGACGAGGAACTCCTGGCGAAAGGTCCCGACAAGGGGCAGATTAAGGGATTTCACCGAGGAAACTAGAAAAAGATGGCGCTTTAATCTCGAAAAAAATACGACTTTAGCAAATCTAAATTGTAATTTTTTGTAACCATAAGTGCTGCGATTCAACGCAGAACAATTATATAGTGGATTTGAGCCGTTTCAAAAAATACTTTTGCTTTTCAACCTGTCCAAACCTGGGTTTTGAAGAGTGAATTGGAGCTGTTATGCTAAAATTGAATTTTAAACACTTCCAGCTAGCCTAAAACGTGGGATTATTTAGCCAGAGATGGGATTGTTAAGCCACTAAAACGGGGATTAAAGCCTTCCGGTAGCTCCATTGAAGCAGCGAATGGATCAAAAGAATCACCTGCCAACAAATATAAATAGTCCGACAAGAGCAAGAAAACTGATGATATTGTGCCACGAAGCATGGAGGTGAGGAAGTGTTGGGATTATAAATGGGTAACCACATGTAATCACCAGGGTGATTCCATACGTGTTTGGATATGGCATCCCAGTATATCCCAATAATTAAAACGACGTATACCCGCTTCTACGCAAGCCCAGAAAATGGGATACAGTACTCTCCGGGGGTCAAACATGGCATGCTGGAAATATCTTTGACTACACCCGTTCGCCGGTCCTCGCTGGGAAGTGCACGCCAGAGAAGTACCTTGGGTTTTTGATCGAGTGCAAGAACTCGGGCCGGTGTAGAGCCATGGATCTTCCAGCCGTGTTTGATGACCCTGAAAGGTATCATAGATTTTCGCTTACACATCCCACTGTATCCCCATATCACTTAGAGTAGATTACAGCATGATGTAGGCATAAGATCGCCAGAAAATGGTTGGTTTTTTCGATGTCTTTATGCAAACGGATGCTATGAATCCAATTCCCAAGGCTCCTTGGATAAATCCTCTATAAGATCAGCCACATGGAGCCATATCAATCCCATAAAGTCCGTTTTTTATTCACAGTACAGTAAGAATCCCATAGTTATTGATGAATTACTAATATTATATCTGGAATAAAGTTGTTAATTGATATATGGCTGGATTATCCCATAATACATGGCATAAAATCCATAGTAAATTCCCATTCCTGTCTGTTAAGTCCCATGACGTCTCATAACATCAAGAAATTCTACCCCCATCCAGCCATAGGTGCGACTTGCCAACCTCTGCCGGCTCAAAGTCCTGCGCGAGCCCCCTATATGGCAATAGAATGACATAGAGAATAATGGAATGGAAAGAATAGAATGGAATGACATAGAGAGAATCAGGTGAATGGAATGAGCGCAGAGAGAATATGGTGGTGTAATGGGATAACTCGGGACCCCCAAAGAGGTAAAATCCCTCTAAAATAGTGTTCGCTTACTTTCCTCTTTTTCGAGGGTTCCGCATTTCACCATGAAATCTCTTGCTGAAATGGAACGCATGACCATCATTTCTGGGTTATCCACCTGTTTGCAACTTGAATTGTGAATCGTCTTGTTTGATAGCTCGAAACATATCCCAATACAGCCCACGAGCAAAAAGTCAACTGGGCACTGCTCATGTGTCTCAAATCCACTTCCAGGAGGTTCTCTCCTGATGGAGCGTGGAGCCAGCTTCCACCAGAGATTTTTACTTTCCACCACAATATTTGATGGGGTGTTCTAAGTGCCCAGTTCCTGATGGAAGGACCCCCCTGTTGTTTGTCGGTAAAATCCTCACGTTTCTTGGCTAACTTCCAACATGTTGGTAGGTTACCCCCCGACTTCACTTGGTCGAATTCCAATTTTAGTTGATCGAATTGCCTTTTTCGATTGGTCGAATCCGGTCATCTTTAGTTCTTCAAACTTGGATTGCTTTCTCTTGTTGAAACCATTCCCTCTCCACACTTCCCCCTTCGCCAAAATTTTGGGTTTCTCCATTCTTCAGCCCACTCCCCTTCCCCCCCCTTCCCACTCAGTCCAGTGTGAAGGGTGCGGTCTCCCGCGCCACACGTTCCACCAATCCCAGGACTTCCTGTTCTTCGCCCGAGATCTGGAGCAGCGGCACATGGGGCGATGGTATGCTGGCAGACTCCGGGAATTTGCTCTGCCTCGCGGTTGAAATGTGGGGGTGAAAGCCGTTGAAAGCATCGTTAAGCAACCATGTTAGGGGAAAATCATGGCAGCATACTGGGGATGCCTCTTGATTTCACTGGTAATAAGGGGGCATAGTATAGATTTCGGGGATATTGATGTATAGTGTACGTGAGAATGGGTAGTTGAGATATGGTTTTAGACTGAATGGTGTAAGTTCAAGATATGATTGATGTAACTTGATGTGGATCGATGCGGCAATTTTGATCGAGTGGGTCTCTGAAATGAAAACATCAATGCAATTGGGGACTTCACCTTCATGATCAATCATGGACGTATATGGGTGATATTAATCCACAAGAATAGTGGATAGATAGAATATGGAACCAGCAACAAGATTGGTGGTTAAACAAATCATAATGAGAGTATCATTCGTTTTGCAACCAGCTTACCTGTAGAAGGGAACCTTTAGATGGCGTAGTTCCCACCAGAAATGTTTGATTCCAAACTACTGTCCGGATGACATGTTTTCAAACTTGAACCCATTCCTGTCTCCAAAGGAGCACAGGTATGGATCAATAGATTTAGATATTTTGCGGATAATTCATTCATGCGAATCTGTTTCATTAGCAAACATGAGGCTGAGAAACCAGTTATAAAATACAGGTGTGTGAAATTATGGATTGATCAGGATTGTGGGGGCAACAGAGTTTGGGCATAAATATCTGGTAATCAACAAATTCATGATCATGGCAGCAACCTGGTTTATCTCATGAAACAAACCGAAAATGGGATTTTCGAGTGCTGTTGATCCCAACCAGCAAATGGATCATGGCATTTTCCAAGAGAGCTACTGCATGACGGATCCCTTTCATTAAACCCTTCATGGAAAGGGTGGCTGTGCAATCAAAAGGAAACAAGCAAAAACCCAGGTTCTCGGTGCAGATGTTCCGTTTATTTTCACAAAATATGTAACGGCATCGACCAGCTGGGCCTATGCCAGTAGCCAAAACAACTAATGTGGGACTCGCCCAGTGTGCCATAAAGGTTAAAACCCAGCCCAGAAATTGGGGATGGTTTATGACATCGGGTGAATCCCGCTTTAGCATTTCTGGGTTTGGTTTTTCTTTCGTCCAGTCTTGCAGCCCTGAACATGCTTTAAGCTGGGAAGATGTTCCAAATCAAACAATATGATGAAATTTGGATGATTTTGGGGCCACGGAACCGCCATTTGGTCGCTGGCTCTTCCCAAAGATCCAGCACGATGCAGCCCAGATTCAAATCAATGATCGCCTTTCTGCAGATTTCGGCAGATTTGCCACTTGGCGTTATCCAAACAGAGTAGACCTTGGACTTCTCATCCGCCTCCCCGTCCACTACGATGCTGTCGATGGAACTAAGGGCATCTGTTTCACCGACCTCGAAAAACACTGGGTTGGCGGGTAGGCACTGTGAGGGTTATGACGACAGAAGGTAATTAATCGTCATGATCTACCTTTAACACTGCTGGCAACGCTGGATTGCAACAACATCTTCATTGGATATTTACCAGTAGTACCGCACAAGGCGGTGGCGAAAGTTTCAAAAATAGGAAACCTATAGGAGAGGTTGGTTGTTGTGACTCACGGATGACAGAGCGAATCCACTGATGGATCGAAAGATGATTCATCCCTCTGGTTCTTTTTCTCTGACTACCTACCTACCTACCTACCATCCTACCTATCTATCTATCTGTCTATCCATCTATCTATCTATCTATCCATCCATCCATCTACCTATCTATCTTCCTGTCTATCTGCAAGCTTGAAAACCTGGCTATTCTACGAGAGTTCTTCATTTTTCCAAGTTGACAACATCAAAAAGGCAGCACTTCTGCGAGGCTTCCTCATTTTTTGAAGTTGACCACATCAAAAACGAAGCAATTCTGCGAGACCTCCTCATTTTTTGAAGTTGACCACATCAAAAACGAAGCAATTCTGCGAGACTTCTTCAATTTTTGAACTTAACAACGTCAAAAACGAAAGAATTCTGCGAGATTTCTAATTTTTTGAACTTGACAACATCCAAAACGAAGCAATTCTGCGAGACTTCGTCAATTTTTGAACTTGACAGCATCAAAAACGAAGCAATCCTGCGAGACTCCTTCAAAAGTGTAAAGTTGACTGCAGAGCTGACGGCCGCGTGCCAATGTGTTTTGCGATTTTTCCAGTCCATCTGTCTAAACTACTGCGCCTGCCACGAAAAAGTGATGCCATGTCATACGAAGTGCTGCACCTGTCACGCAAAATCATCTCAGCAAACCTGAAAATCTGAGGCTCCAAAATGCAACCCTTCTCAGGAAATCAGCGCCCTGACCTCCGAACAGCTCTGATGAACATGTCCTTTGTACTGCGCCTGCCACGCGAAAATGCATCTTTGCAGATCCTCTTCAAATGTCCCACGCCTGCCATCGTTTTTGGCAATGCAACAAAGACCTCACGTTTTGCTCCCTTTTGAGAAGGTGCACCTTGCGCCTGCCACGCGAAACGAGCTCTGAACGTCCAAAAGTGCTCCGTACGTGGTGTGTTTTGTACATTTTGACTTCAAAAAAGTGGTCCGAGAATGGTGTGCTTTGGACATTTTGACTTCGAAATGTGCTTCGCGCCACAACGGCTTGCACTTTTTTATCTCTCATCTGGCCAGCTGGCTCCGCACCCGCCGCTTCAGCGAGCCTACTTTTCGACCCTCCGGAGCCCCAAATCATTCGAAAAACCGCAGTGTTTCGCGACTTTCCTACCTTTTCGCGCGTCTGCATCTTCTTTCTTCTGACTCTTTCTCTTCTATCATCTTCTCTCTTCTGCTCTTCTCTTCTCTCTGCCTCTTCCCATCTCTGCTTTTCATCTGTCCATATTGTCGGAAGTTTGACTTCTAAACTTCCTTCGATTACCTGAAGCAGGGATGAATACTGTGAGCCCTGCAAGAAAACCAACTGGTGCTAAGCAACAACACATCATTTCAAACACGTGCAGCTCGCTCTACATCTATATTTATACCTTGTGAGATTCCTCCTGCCCTGACCTTCTTCAGGTCCGATTTCAGCTTTTGCCAAAGCTCAATGCATGGTCTTCCCGTCTCATCCTGGCACTTCTTGGATGTGCATCCCAGTTAGGATCCGTGATAACCCACATATAACTGAGGATATCCAAAATATAATTGGGGTATAACATGGGTATAACATGGATTACTATGGTTCTATATCCCCTTAGAAATGCAGCCCTGCCTCCCTACCTGTCCTCTTTGGGACGCGTGAGTGACACAGTGAGTTTCACTGAGCCTCGGCCTTCTGAAAGGCCCTGAATCGCCAAACGCGTTTCAGGGATTTGGAGATTCTCGGCCAAGGCCTGGCGTCATCAGCTGCGCACCAAAAAGAAATTAATCATCATCAGTCATCAGTCATCAGTCATGACTCATGGTTTCATCATCAGCAAATCATCAACATCATCATCCTCCTCCTCCTCCTCGTCGTCGTCGTCGTCATCATCATCATCATCATCACTTTGTGACCATGACCATGATCATGACAATTAAGGGCATCAGAATCACCATCAGCATCACCATCATCGTCGTTATCACAATCATCATCATCATCATCATCATCATCATCATCATCATCACTTTGTGACCATGACCATGATCATGACAATTCTGGGCATCAGCATCAGCATCAATATCATCGTCGTCATCACAATCATCATCATCATCACCATCATCATCATCATACTGATGATAATGGTCAGCATCAGCATCAGCATCGCAATGAACACCGTCATCATCATTCATCATCATCATCATCATCATCACCATCATCATCATCATGATCAAAAGTTGAGCAACACCATCATCATCATCATCATCGTCATCATTGCCATCGCACTCATGATCATTATCATGATGAAGAGCATGATCATGACCGAAGGAAGTTTAGAAGTCAAACTTCCGACAATATGGACATATGAAAAGCAGGGCAGGGAAGAGGCAGAGAGAAGAGAAAGATTAGAAGAGAGAAGATCAGAGAAGAGAAAGAGTCAGAAGAAAGAAGATGCAGATGCGCGAAAAGGTAGGAAAGTCGCGAAAACACCACATGTTCGCGCCACTTTTGGAGGTTCGGATGTTGGAAAAGTGCACGCCGTTGTGGCGCGAAGCACATTTCCAAGTCAAAATGTACAAAACACTAGGGGTTCGGACCACTTTTGGAGGTTCAGATGTCGCTTCGCTTCAAGACACTACACTACAGGACATTACACTACACTACACGCCAATACACTACATTACACTACATGACACTCCAGGACACTCCACTACACTAAATTACACTACACCACACTACATTACACTGAATGACTTGGAGAGATAGATAGACAGATAGATTGATAGATTGATAGATAGAGAGATAGATAGATAGATCGATAGATAGATAGATAGATCGATAGATAGATAGACAGATAGATACATAGATAGGTCGATAGATAGGTAGACAGATAGATAGATACACAGATAGATGGACAGACAGACAGATAGATAAATAGATAGATGGACAGACAGACAGACAGATAGATAGATAGATAGATCGATAGATAGATAGATAGACAGACAGAGAGAGAGAGAAAGAAAGAAAGAAAGATAGGTAGGTAGGTAGGTAGATAGTCAGAGAAAGAGAGAGAAATCGTGAGAGAGATCAATCACCTTTCGCTCCATCAGTGGCTTCGCTCTGCCATCCCTGATTCACAGCAACCAACCTCTCCTATAGGTTTCCTATTTTTGAAACTTCCGCCACCGCCTTGTGCGGTACTACTGGTAATCATCAGCATCAGCATCATCATCATCAGCGGCACCATCATCATCTTCAAAATCATGTTGATGATCATGATCGTGAAAATCATCAGCATCAGATGCAGCATCAGCATCGCCATCGTCATCATCATCATCACCACCATCATCATCGTCACAATCATGAGCATGGTGATGGCCATGATTAACCTCAGCATCAGGATCAGCATTGCCATCATCACCGTCGTCATCATCATCATCATCATCATTATCAGCATCACAATCATCATCTTCCTCATCATCACACTCATGATCATAATCACCTTCATAAGCTTGGTCCTGACAATGAACATCACCGGCATCAGCACCAGCATCGTCAACATCATCGTCATCGTCATCCTCCTCATCATCATCACCCTCACCATCACCATCATCATCATCATCATCATCATAACCATCAGCATCACGAGCATCATCGTCGTCGGTCGTCATCATCATCATCACCATAATCATCACCACCTTCATCAGGCTACTAGCAATGATGATGATGATGGTGATGATGATGGTGATGATAGTGATGATGATGATGATGAGGATGATGATGAGGATGATGATGTGCATATTAAGAAGAAGCAATCGATTTGTCATGGCACAAAGTTTGTGCTGCCTATCTTTGTCACTTCCGAAACATCATCGACTTCAGAAAAACATTGTGAATCCCAACTTTCACATCTTCTCACCACAAAACTATTATATCATATCATATCATATCGTGTGAAATTTTATTGTATCTTGAAAGCCCCACATAACATGGTGTTTGCATCGCCATGTTTGCTTTGGCTTCCGCTGGTGCACCTTCAGCAATTTGATTTGAAATTCATCTTTCTCGGCTTCTTCGCGGCCGAATCCAGCCTGACAGGACTTAGTGGAACTTTGCACCCAGTGAAAAACACATGTCTGACATTGTTTGATGTGGGTAGTCTGCTGCACCAGTGCAATCTAATGCAATCTATCTGGTACTAGTCTTCACCAGTTAGAAATCACGGTTCCTGATGGATGTGTTTCTTCCCATCCCGAGCCACTGCATCACCTTCAACTTGAGTCTTGCACTGCAGGCAGAAGCTCTGGCGATGCGCTTGGTGCGCCTTTCCAAGTAGCGGCCGTACTGGACGTCGCAAATGTATCCTGCCGCAAAACTGAGAAAACCAGTGGCAAACAAAGCAGGTAAGGCATACACCATGCTTGATAACATAAAAAAAGAGGACAGAATGGGAATGACTGGGTAAACGAATGTAAACGAGCCAAACAAACATCAAGAGATCACAAATAAACAGGATCGAGCCATGCATTTGTCTTTGACCGTCCCTGGGGTTCACAGTCCTACAGCAGAAAAAACGGGGAAGAAGGCCACCAACCTGTTGGAGGCCCGTAGCAAGGGATCGGTTTCAGAGGCAGCGGCCACGCTCCTGGATTTCTACATGAGGTGGAAAAAGACAAGAACTGGGGTTGAATAAGGCTCTCAGGGAATATCATCCGGCTGTCATACATTTTTTGTATATATATATATATACGCATGATATAATTTATATAATATACTAAATAGTTATTCAACACATACATATAGAAATAAACAGAAAACCAATAAGACATATATCTTGATATACATATATTCAATAAGGTATAAAACTTATGTATACATATATAGGTCAGGTAGGTAGGTAGGCAGGCAGGTAGGTAGGTAGATAGATAGATAGATAGATGGAGGGATAGACACAGAGAGAGAGAGAGAGATGGATGGATGGATGGATGGATGGATGGATGGATCGATAGGTAGATAGATAGATAGATGGATGGATAGATAGATAGATAGATATAATATATGTAAATAATTTGATGCATTGATGAAGGATTGTGCCGAGAAAACCACGGGGGCTTTGCCGCGTAGATTTCTCTTCCATTCTGGTTGACTAAGTTCTTAAAGTGAGAAGTCCAACGTTGTATGGCTAAGTTCTGAGCCAGCATTTCCAATTGGGGATGGCCGGAAGTCATCAACCACCAAGATGATAGCCAAATGACAGTTGTGAGTCCACAGGCAGCCCGCGGAATTCACCTATCAATTTCAAGCTCCTGAAGCTTTCGATGCTGCGAGCAAGGAGGCCCATCTTTGGAGCCAAAGACAGCTGCAGCAAAGTTTGGAATGAGAATGGGTCATCTGAGCTAGAGAGGATGGAACATGAAAGACACTGATTCCACTATACACTCTATGTTGAGATCCTCGGAACAAGGTGTATTTTGAATCTGGCACTTGCTCACAGTGACGAGTCACCGGTACTTCCGACTCTGTGGAAGTATGTAATGGTTGACCACATCATGTCTGCAATCCTGCCATTTTGAGCAATCAAGCAATCCAAGAAATCCAGGAGCCCAGCAGCCGTCGACTTTCTAAACCGCAAAAACACGGTGATGTCATAAACGCCGCAGTTGGGCACTTTGGCTAACATAGCCTCCCACCAGGAGCACTTGCAAACTTGTCCTGCGCCTGGAAGCAGGTTTTCGGATTGGTTCAGGTTCAAATTTGGGAATGCCGGGTAGAATCTAAAGTAAAGGTATACGCAATTTCAGCAACCATAGCATTGGGGTTGGTTTATAACGTTGATTTCACATGATCAGACTTCCTCCTACCTAACGTCTGCCTTTGGATTGATAGTGTTGCAGAAACAAACATTTTAATAGTTGATGATTTCAATCCATACCAAAATTATTCTCAACAGAAATCACCATCCCATTTTCTATCGTTGGACATGCAAAAACGCTGTGAGACCACCAAGGTTTCAACATCCGATGCTGGGAATCATCCCATCGCCTCGCAAAGGACCGCGGATCATGTGAGTCTTGGGAGTGACAGGAGCTTGCGCGCTAGGCCAGCGACCTGTGGCATCTTTTGGAAGGTCTAGGACAATCTCAGGTAGGAAGAAAACTATTTGAAACTGCTTTACGCATTTTCAAGTGTATCTTTGTGTTGCTAGAACAGGAGACTCAAAGATGGAGTGAGTTCTTGGCAAGGCCTGGAAATTTGACCGTGATTTCGAACAATGAAACTGAAAAAATGGACTGTGGCCAATCTTATACACCAAAAATACCCACCGAAAAAATGAATTGTCGCCGGGCTTTCACGATTTGGCTGTATCTTGATTGCGGAACCGGCATAAAATGGTTGCACCTCGGATGTTTACTTATCCCTCACCAATCAGCATGCCCAGTCAACTTGGAACAATCTGCACAACTTGGGTGTGTCCAAATGGGGGGAAAATATTCGACAAATAGCAATTTGAACCACGTTTTTTTTTTCCGTGTTTGCGGAAAGGAACTACCCCGCAGGCAGCGCGTAGCCTACCGCTGCAGCTCCCCCGTTCTGAGCTCCCTTTGCCATAAATGCATCGCGTAGCCTACCTGTGCGTAGGCGATTTGAAAACAAAACGCGGCTCATTTGATATCATTTGATGTATTTTGGAGGTGCTTTCCCCTAGAGTATGGCTTCGTGGAGAAACAGAGGTTTCAAGTAATAAAAATTGGCTGGCCTGATGGGTGCCACCTCAGCGCGCGCAGTACGTGGCGCGGTGACACACTGCTAATCGAGAACGGTCTGAACGCGTCATGGGGCATCAGCATGGATCCAAGCCGCCTGGTTGAGGAGTAGATCTGTTCTCAAACCTAACAGCCTGGTTGCTACATGGCTACGGGTCAAATGGGCCTTGGGGACTGCAGATTTGGGTGTCTGTTAGTAGCCATGCAATCAAGTTTTAGGGGTGTTTAAGTTTGACCCATACCCGCTTACAGAGGGAAATTCATACCAGTAGTACCGTGCAAGGCGGTGGCGGAAGGTTCAAAGATAGGATTCCGGAGCGGTTGGTTGTTGTCAATCATGGATGGCAGAGCCCACTGATGGATGGAAAGGTGGTTGGAGCGTCGGGCTATCTATTTGTCTATCTATCTATTTGTCTATCTATCTAGCTATCTATCTATCTATCTATCTATCTATCTAATCAACCTATCAATCTACCAATCTATCAACCAATCTATCAATCTATCTATCAGTCAATCAGCCTATCTATCTATCAATCTATCAATCTATCAGTCTATCAATCAATCAACGAATCAATCAATCAACCAATCAAGCTATCTATCGGTCTATCGGTCTATCATCTGTCTGTCTGTCTGTCTGTCTATCTGCAGGCTTGAAAACGAAGCTATTCTGCGAGACTTCCTCAATTTTCGAAGTTGCTACGCTTCAAAACAAAGCAATTCTGCGAGACTTGCTTCAAAAATCGAAAGTTGAGTGCAGAGCTGACGGCCTTGTACCAATGCGAGTTGCGTTTTTTTTCATTCCATCTGTCTAAAGTATTGCGCCTGCCAGGACAAGTCAGGCCAGGTCATACGAAGTGTCGCACCCGTCACGCAAAATCATCTTAGCAAATCTGAAGATCTGATCTCCAAAATGCACCCCCTCTCAGGAAATCAGGGCCCGGACCTCCCAACATGTCGGACGCATGTGTCTCTTGTACTGCACCTGCCATGCAAAATGCATCTTTGCAGATCTTCATTCAAATGTCCCACGCCTGCCAACGCTTTTGAAACTGCAACAGAACCCTCACGTTTTTCCCACTTTTGGAGAGGTGCAGAATCCCCTGCGCCTGACGCGGAAAACGAAATCCTAACTTCAAAAAGTGCTCCGAGACCGTCTGTTTTTAACATTTTTAACATGGAAATGTGCTTCGCGCCACAACACCGCGCACTTTTTGAACATCTCAACTTCCAAAAGTGTTCCGAGCCCGACAATTTTTAACACTCTTGACTTCGGCATGTGCTTCGCGCCACAACGCCGTGCACTTTTTTCAACAGCTCAACTTCCACAAGTAGTAAGTAGTCCGAGACCTTCAATTTTTCCCAAAATCTCCGATGCTTGGGTTCTCATTTAGTTGCACTTGCCGCGAGGGAGTGATACGGAAGTGACGAGAGGGTGGACGGAGGGAAAACCGTTGGGGGGAGCTCCGTTGGCAGGGAACGAGATGGAAGCGGCGACAGGGTGAACATGGATGAACGGACGGGAAGCCGTGAGAAATAGCATGGGGAGAGCTCCGTTGGGAAGGAGGGAGAGCTGGGTGGACGGGGGAAAACCGTGGGAAATAGCTTGGGGAGAGCTCCGTTGGGAGGGAGCGAGATGGAAACGACGACAGGGTGGACGGAGGGGAGAGCCTGCCGTCGCTTCCGTCTCGCTCCTATCTCGCTCCTTTCCCAGAGACCTCTCCCCAAGCTATTTCCCTCGGTTTCCCTTCCGTCCAGCCTGGAGCTCTCCCCAAGCTATTTCCCACGGTTTTCCCCCGTCCACCTTCACCTTGTCGTCGCTTCCACCCCGCCCCTTCCCAACGGAGCTCTCCCCAAGCTATTTCCCACGGTTTCCCCTCCGTCCACCTTGTCGTCGCTTCCATCTCGACGATCCTTCCCCACGGAGCTCTCCCCAAACGATTTCCCACGGACAGAGGGGAAACTGTTGGAAATAGATTGGGGAGAGTTCCGATGGGAGGGAGCGAGATGGAAGCGACGACAGGGTGGTTGGAGGGGAAACCGTGGGAAATAACTTGGGGAGAGCTCCGTTGGGAGGAAGCGACGCACTGAGAAGCAGAGCTGTTGGCACAAGTTTTCAGGACAAATTTCATCAATGCGATTGTCCCGAAAAACTGTGCGCCCAAGACTTTTCAAGTGGTTTGCAAACGTTGGGCGATGGGGCATGCATAGCTTCGTTGGCAGGCAGCGAGACTAAAAGAGCAGAGCTGTTGGCACGGATTTTTCAGGACAAATTCCATCAACGCGATTGTCCCGAAAAACTGGCGCCAAAAACTTCTCAAACGGTGTTTAAAGTTGGGCAAAGGGACGTGCCGGACATGCATGGGAAAAAGTTCTTTGCTGGAGGGGTTTTCATTTTGCTCGGCGTTCTGTCCGTCGATGCTTGGTTTTCGCTCCATTTGCAGCGAAGCAAGCTAAACAAAAACCCAAGCATAGGATATGCATCAGCGTGAACGGACAGGTGGGGAAATAGCTTGGGGAGAGCTCTGCTGCGAGGGAGCGGCACTGAAAATGCGGAGCTGTTGGCACGGGTTTTACGCAGAGCAGCTTTTACACAGAGGAGCTTTACACAGAGAAGCTTTACACGGCGGATCTTTTACACAGAGGAGCTTTACACGGAGGATCTTTTACACAGAGAGGCTTGTGCACAGGGAGGACTTTACACACAGAATCTTTTACACAGAGAAACTTTTACACAGGAAAGGTTTTACACACAGAAGCTTTTACACAGAGAAGTCTTTATACAGAGTAGTCTTGACACAGAGAAGCTTGCACACACAGGGGCTTTTACACAGAGAAGCCTTTTACACAGAGGAGCTTTTTCACAGAGGAGCTTTTTCACGGAAAAGCTTGTACACGCAAAGGCTTTGACACAGAGAAGTCTTTACACAGAGGAGCTTTTAGACAGAGATGCTTGTACACACAGAGGAGCTTTTACACACAGACGCTTTTACACAAAGAAACTTTTACACAGAGCAGCTTTTACACACAGAAACGTTTACACACAGAGGGGCTTTATACACGGAAGGCTTGAAACACAGAAGCTTTTACACGGGAAAGCCTTTACACAGAGAAGCTCTTACACACAGAAGTTCTAAGGCAAAAAAGCGTTTGCACAGAAGCTTATACACACAGACACGTTTACACAGGAGTGTTTACACACGGATGCGTTTACACAGAGCAGCTTTTACACACAGAAGCTTTTTCACAAAAAAGCCTTTACACAGAGAAGCTTTTACACACAGAGGCTCTTGCACAAGGAAACTTTTACACAGGAAAGCTTTTTACACACAGAAACTTTCACGCACAGAAGCTTTTTACACCGAGAAGTCTTACATAGAGGAGCTTTTACGCACAGATGCGTTTACACAGAGAAGCCTTTACACAGAGGAGCTTTTGCACACAGAAGCCTTTTACGCACAGAACGTTTTGCACAAACTAGCTCTTACACAGCGAAGTCTTAGACAGATTACACAGAGAAGCTTTCACGCACAGACGCATTTACACAGAGAAGTCTTTACACAGAGGAGCCTTTGCGCACAGACGCGTTTACACAGAGAAGCCTTTACACAGAGGAGCTTTTGCGCACAGAATCTTGTACACGCAGACGCGTTCACACACAGGAGGTTTTACAAGCAGACAACTTTACGGCGCACAGAACTTTTACATAGAGCAGCTTTTATGCAGCGAAGCTTGTACACACAGGGGAGCTTTTTTTACACAGAAGCTTTTACATAAGGTTTTTCTAATACACAGAAGCTTTTACACACAGGAACCGTTACACACAGAAGCTTTTACACACAGAAACTTTTACACACAGAAGCTTTTACACACAGAAGCTTTTACACAAAAAAACCTTTACGCAAAGGAGCTTTTACACACAGACGAGTTTACACAGAGGAGTCTTTACACACGGAGGCGTTTACACAGGAAAGCTTTTACACACAGACGCGTTTACACAGAGTAGTTTTTACACAGAGAAATCTTTACACAAAGAAATCTTGACACAGAAGTTTGCACACACAGAGGCTTTTACACAGAGAAGCCTTTTACACAGAGCAGCTTTTTCATAGAGGAGCTTTTACACAGAGGAACTTTTACACAGAGAAGCTTGTACACTCAGAGGCCTTGACACAGAGAAGTCTTTTACACAGAGAAGCTTTTGCACACAGAAGCTTTACACAAACAAAACCTTAACGCAGAGGAACTTTTGCAGACAGAAGCTGGTACGCAAAGAAACTTTCACGAACAGAAACTTTTACACACAGAGGACGTTTTACACAGAAGCTTTTGCACACAGAAGCTTTTACACAAAACCTTTACACAGAGAAGTTTTTACTCGCAGAAGCTTTTGCATACAGAAGCTTTTATGCAAAGAAGCTTTTGTACAGAGAAGTCTTCACCCATCTTTCATCATGTCTCATTTTTCATGATCATTCACCATCTGTCACCTTCATATCTTCGTTTTCATGCTCTTTTGGTCAACTCCCTCCGTGGTTTAGTTTTCATTTCGCACGGTGTTCTGTCCGTCCATGCTTCGTCCTCCCTCCCTCTGCGGCGAAGCAAACTAAACGAGAACCCAGAAATAAATAGCGACTAGAAAGATGGGATAGTTTTAATTACCTTTGCAGAAATAGCTACTAGAAGAATGTAGACGTAGCTGACACAGCATACTGTGGTGAATTGTGGCCCTTGATACCATTAGTGCGCGCGATGTTTCGATTTCGTGCAGAGCACAGCTCCCCACATCACAAGATTTTCAAAAAAAAGGCGCGCCGTGTGCCGTCTTGCTTTTGGGTTCTCTGGCCCACCTTGTTTTCACTTTTGACTTCCAAATGTGCCGCAAGTGCGTGCACTTTTCCAACAGCTTTACTTCCAAAAGTGGTTTGAGACCTTCAATTTTTTCACTTTTGACTTCCACATGTGCTTCGCGCCACAGCTGCATGCGCTTTTTCGACATCTCAACTTCCAAAAGTGCTCCGGCAGTGACGTGTTTTGCGCATTTTGACTTCAAAATTTGCTCCGCACCACAGCCGCGTGCAATTTTTTCATCTCTCATCTCCCCAGATGGCTCCGCACCCGCCGCTTTAGCGAGCCTACTTTGACCGTCCGGAACCACAAAACATTGGGAAAAACACAGTGTTTCGCGACTTTCCTACCTTTTCGCGCGCCTGTATCTTTCTTCTGACTTTTCTCTTCTCTGATCTTTTTTCTGTCTCAATTTCTCTTATGTGGCTCTTCCCACCTCTGCTTTTCCATCTATCCATTTTGTCTGAAGTTTGACTTCTAACTTCCTTCGAATATGTCAATTAGGAGATAACCGTAGTACGTAGTATACACAGACTATTGCTGGTGTATACCCAGAAAAGAGGTCAAACAAAACTAAACAAGCTTCAGTGGAAAAGCACAGAGCTACTGGTGGACGCGAGTTCTGGAAATGAGTAAAAAGCTGAGAACTTCAAACCTTCATACGCGTCCCACTCTGAATGAAGCACATCAAGCTCAGCCCCGACATTTGCAAAGTCTTGAAAAGAGGCAGTTACAACGTATCCTTTATAAACACTGCAAAGGAGGTCGTTGATTGCTTGGAGGTCACCAGCAAAAAAACATGCTGATTACTTTCTTCGAGTGGTCCCCAGCCTTACTCACTATTCTGACATAGTTTGTGACATACCATCTGTACAGTAAGTATATATTGGGTATATGTATATATATATATAAATATATTCGGACATTCCATCTGACATTCTTTCTGGCATCTATTCTGACATTCTATCTGACATTCTATCTTGCATTCTATCTGGCATTCTGTCCGACATCTATTCTGGCATTCTATCTGGCGTTTTCCCTGGCATTCTCTTCTGGCGTTCTCTCTGCCCGGGACTAGCCGCAGCCCATAGCGTCCGGATCTCGCGATGAGATTCGGGTTATACAGCGACCGGAATTTGCGATATAAGGTTCGGGTCTAGCCGCAGCCTAGCCTCCGGAGCTCGCGCTATGAGGTTCGGCGACGAGCTGGCACAGAAGTGGACAAGAGAGAAGTCGAGGAGAAAAAAGAGGAAGGAGGAGGAGGTCGAGGTGCACATTTGTCAAAATCTAGAGACCCTCACCTGCCAGGGAACAACTAGAAAAGCCTAGATTAGCAGTATCCCCTAGTTTAGAATACATGTAGATAACACCTGGTTTCATGTTGGATCTATTCATGAATTGGGGTCCTATATATGTACGCACGTAATGTTATGGGAGAAGGTCATCTAATTTTTGCCGAGCAGCAGAAGGTCTCAGAGCTGTAGCCCGCAGCTTGCTGCTTTCTGGCCCCGGAATCCTCCTATCCATCTGAACTCGGCTTTCAGCATGCAGCGCTGAGCACGCTTGAGCTGAAAGTGAAAGGGCTCACAAGGTATCCTTGAAGATGCCCAGACTAAACAACTTTGGTCAAGTCGAGGACGTCAAGTTTACGCTAAGCTCAGAATCATCCTGTGGCCAACCTTGCCATGTCTGCATTCGCCAGGATCGTCTCAAGGGACTTTGAACAGCCGGAAAACGTCGTGGATGATGCAGAGGCACCCAACTGCCGGGGACGCCTTCACAAAATGACTTGATGGGAAGGCTTCAAAGGCACCTCACGGCAGCCCTGATGGCGCTGAATCACTGGCATCTCATGGCGCCTGTAGCAATGTCGAGTCACTGTGCCAGATGTTGCTGGTCGAGAAACTCACATGGCCGTGTTTGAAAATGGTGTCCCGAACTTGTCATCTTTTGTGACTTTTGACACATCAGACCGCAATCATCCACGAACACGAGCAAAATAAAATTTCGTTTGCATTTTCGATCCTGAGGTAAGAAATTCATTGTGAGAGTCGCACCGTTGTGGCTGAACCAGCCCTGCAACCTATCCCTGTCCAGGCTTCTGGCTTGACACGGGACCAGGGTCTTCTTCTTGTGGTAGCGCTCTGCGATCGTCCGGGGCACCAACTTAAAACCACAAGTTGCAGGGAGCATCTGTGGCTGAGCTCCCTGAGCTTCATCTGATTGTGGTTTGCCAAGGTTGCAATTCTTGGCAACACTGGCAGTGGTTGGGTCCAAGTGATGCAATGCCGATGTAACTGACAGGTCACTGTCAATTTGGGAAACTCTCACATGTTGGACCGGGTGGGCTGGTTGGGGACCAGGAAGGGCAGCTGGGAAATCAGACTTGTGGTGGGGGACTGAATCTCACTCTCACAGGTGTCCCAAGTTTTTTGAGTTGCACATCATGCCAAGGGAAGGCGGTGCTCACAGTGAAGTAACAAGCAAGGCCCCCTCAAACGCAATGGATCAGCAATGAAGCCCTGTCCACCAACCACTTGTGGCAAGATCTTAATAATTTACTCCTGCTCTCGCAAATTTCCTGCAGCGTGTGCTGCGTCAAATCTGTTCCCTCCCGGTGAGTTGTGAATCTTCTTCTTCGGTGCATGTGAACCTTCTGGTTTGCCGCATGCATGCAGAAGTTGAAGTTAAGGAGGAGACACTCGTAGGTGTTCCCCAACCGTCGGCAGCAGGGAGGCTTCTGGCTTGACACGGCGCCAGGGCTGCAGGGGGCCACCTTACAGCAGCCCAGATGGGGCAATATGTACTGCTGCAGGTAGTCACACTGAATGGGTGAAGTAACAAACGCTGCCACCTCAGATGCACTGGATCAGCCACTCCCGCTCCAAAATTTCCTGCAGGGGACGCGTCAAATCTGCTGATTTTCCTTGGGTTCACTTGTTTGCGGCCAAATATTGCGTGTTCAGCCAACAATCCACTGAGTGCGGGGGGTGTGTTCAAACGCGAGACTTAAGGACCAATCGCTTCACTGTGATTTTCTGTGTGGCTTTTTAATGGCCGCAGTGGGGCATATGGGTCAGATTTGACATGGTGTGCATGATATGGATCTTTGGCTTAAACATGCTCAACAGGAGTGTTTACACATGGATGCGCTTACACACAGAAGCCTCCACGCACAGAAGCGTTTACGGCGCACTGAAACGTTTACACAGAGCAGCTTTTACACACAGAAGCTTTTTCACAAAAAAACCTTTACACAGAGAAGCTTTTACACACAGAGGCTTTTGCACAAGGAAACTTTTACACAGGAAAGCTTTTACACACAGAAGCTTTTACACAGAGAAACTTTTCACCGAGAAGTCTTACACAGAGGAGCTTTTACGCACAGACGGGTTTGCACAGATAAGTCTTTACAAAGGAGTTTTTGCACACAAAGGAGTTTTTGCACACAAAGTGTTTACACACAAAAAACGTTTACGCACAGAGAAGCTTTCACATGCAGAAGCTTCTGCACGGGAAAGCCTTTACACAGAGAAGCTCTTACACACAGAAGCTTTTACACTCAGAAGTTTTCACACAAAAAAGCCTTTACACAGAAACTTTGACACACAGACACGTTTACACTTGACACAAGGACGCGTTTACACACAGAAGCCTTTACGCACAGAAGCTTTTTTGCACAGAGTAGCTTTTACACACAGAAGTCTTTACACAGAGAAGCCTTGACACAGAGAAGCCTGTACACTGTACACACAAAGACTTTCACCGAGAGAAGCCTTTTGTACAGAGATTTCTTGACACAGAGGAGCTTTTACACAGAGAAGTCCTTACACAAAGGAGATTTACACACAGAAGCTTTTACACACAGACACGTTTACACACAGAAGGTTTTACAAATAGACGCTCTTTCGACGCACAGAAACTTTTGCACAGAGCAGCTTGTACACACAGAAGCTTTTCCACACAGACACGTTTACACACAGAAGCTTTTACAAATAGACGCTCTTTCGGCGCACAGAAACTTTTACACAGAGCAGCTTGTACACACAGAAGCTTTTACACAAAAAAGCCTCTACACAGAGAAGTTTTTACACACAGGAGCTTTTGCACAAGAAAACTTTTACACAGAAACTTTCACGCGCAGAGCTTTTTTCACCGAGAAGTCTTACATAGAGGAGCTTTTACGCACAGACGCGTTTACACAGAGAAGCCTTTACACAGAGGAGCTTTTGCACAGAGAAGCTTTTTACGCACAGAACGTTTTACACAAACTAGCTTTTACACAGTGAAGTCTTACACAGATTACACAGAGAAGCTTTCACGCACAGACGCATTTACACAGAGAAGTCTTTACACAGAGGAGCCTTTACACACAGACGCGTTTACACAGAGAAGCCTTTACACAGAGGAGCTTTTGCACACAGAAGCCTTTTACGCACAGAACGTTTTGCACAAACTAGCTTTTACACAGCGAAGTCTTACACAGATTAGACAGAGAAGCTTTCACGCACAGACGCATTTACACAGAGAAGTCTTTACACAGAGGAGCCTTTACGCACAGACGCATTTACACAGAGAAGTCTTTACACAGAGGAGCCTTTACGCACAGACGCGTTTACACAGAGAAGCCTTTACACAGAGGAGCTTTTGCGCACAGAATCTTGTACACGCAGACGCGTTCACACACAGGAGGTTTTACAAACAGACAACTTTACGGCGCACAGAACTTTTACATAGAGCAGCTTTTATGCAGCGAAGCTTGTACACACAGGGGAGCTTTTTTACACAGAAGCTTTTACAGAAGTTTTTTTAATACACAGAAGCTTTTACACACAGGAACCGTTACACACAGAAGCTTTTACACACAGAAGCTTTTACACACAGAAGCTTTTACACACAGAAGCTTTTACACAAATTATTTTACTTCGTGTGATCCCCACCATGACATTTATACATTTTGTTACTGGCAAATCTTCTGGCATTCTATCTGACATATCTTCTGGCATTCGATCTGGCATTCTATCTGGCACATCTTCTGTCATTCTACCTGGCATATCTCCTGGCATATGTTCTGGCATATCATCTGGCATATCTTCTGGCATATCTTCTGACATCCTATCTGGCAAATCTTCTGGCATTCTATCTGGCATATCTTCTGGCATATCATCTGGCAAATCTTCTGGCATTCTATCTGGCAAACATTCTATCTTCTGGCATTCTATCTGACATTTTATCTGGCATTCTATCTGGCATACCTTCTGGCATTCTATCTGGCATATCTTCTAACATTCTAGCTGGCATATCTTCTGGCATATCAGCTGGCAAATCTTATGGCATTGTATCTGGCATATCTTCTCGCATTCTATCTGACATTCTATCTGGCATATCTTCTGGCATTCTATCTGGCTTTTGAGGTCCAGCGGTGCGCACTGAGCTCGGAAGGCCCCAGGTTGAGGTCCAGCGGTGCGCACTGAGCTCGGCAAGTCCCAGGTTGAGGTCCAACGTGCGCGCTGAGCTCGGCAGGTCAGGTTGAGGTCCAGCGGTGCGCACTGAGCTCGGCAGGTCCCAGGTTGAGGTCCAGCGGTGCGCACTGAGCTAGGAAGGTCCCAGGTTGAGGTCCAGCGGTGCGCACTGAGCTGGGAAGGTCCCAGTTTGAGGTCCAGCAGTGCGCACTGAGCTCCGAAGTTGGCGAAGAGCTTGGCCAAGAGCTGGCAAGGCAACAGTGGACGTGGAAGTTGATGCAGACATGGTCGAGGAGAAACTGGAGGAGGAGGCGGAGGAGGAGGAGGAGGACACCAGCCCTGATAAAATCTAACACTGGCAGGTGGGGGAAAACCTTTACACAAAGGAGCTTTTACACACAGACGGGTTTACACAGAGGAGTCTTTACACACGGAGGCGTTTACACACGAAAGCTTTTACACACAGAAGCGTTTACACAGAGTAGTTTTTACACAGAGAAATCTTTACACAAAGAAGTCTTGACACAGAAGCTTGCACACACACAGAGGCTTTTACACAGAGAAGCCTTTTACACAGAGCAGCTTTTTCATAGAGGAGCTTTTACACAGAGGAACTTTTACACAGAGAAGCTTGTACACTCAGAGGCTTTGACACAGAGAAGTCTTTTACACAGAGAAGCTTTTGCACACAGAAGCTTTACACAAACAAAACCTTAACACAGAGGAGCTTTTGCAGAGAGAAGCCTTTACGCACAGAACGTTTTGCACAAACTAGCTTTTACACAGCGAAATTTTACACAGATTACACAGAGAAGCTTTCACGCACAGACGCATTTACACAGAGAAGTCTTTACACAGAGGAGCCTTTACGCACAGACGCATTTACACAGAGAAGTCTTTACACAGAGGAGCCTTTACGCACAGACGCGTTTACACAGAGAAGTCTTTACACAGAGGAGCTTTTGCGCACAGAATCTTGTACACGCAGACGCGTACACACACAGGAGGTTTTACAAACAGACAACTTTACGGCGCACAGAACTTTTACATAGAGCAGCTTTTATGCAGCGAAGCTTGTACACACAGGGAAGCTTTTTTACACAGAAGCTTTTACAGAAGTTTTTTTAATACACAGAAGCTTTTACACACAGGAACCGTTACACACAGAAGCTTTTACACACAGAAACTTTTACACACAGAAGCTTTTACACACAGAAGCTTTTACACAAAAAAACCTTTACACAAAGGAGCTTCACAGACGGGTTTACACAGAGGAGTCTTTACACACGGAGGCGTTTATATACACAGGAAAGCTTTTCCACACAGAAGCGTTTACACAGAGTAGTTTTTACACAGAGAAATCTTTACACAAAGAAGTCTTGACACAGAAGCTTACACACACACAGAGGCTTTTACACAGAGAAGCCTTTTACACAGAGCAGCTTTTTCATAGAGGAGCTTTTACACAGAGGAACTTTTACACAGAGAAGCTTGTACACTCAGAGGCTTTGACACAGAGAAGTCTTTTACACAGAGAAGCTTTTGCACACAGAAGCTTTACACAAACAAAACCTTAACACAGAGGAGCTCTTGCAGACAGAAGCTGGTACGCAAAGAAACTTTCACAAACAGAAACTTTCACAAACAGAGGCTTTTACACACACAGACGACGTTTTACACAGAAGCTTTTGCACACAGAAGCTTTTACACAAAAAACCTTTACACAGAGAAGTTTTTACCCACAGAAGCTTTTACATACAGAAGCTTTTGTGCAAAGAAGCTTTTGTACAGAGAAGTCTTTACCCATCTTTCATCATGTCTCATTTTTCATGATCATTCACCATCTGTCACCTTCATATCTTCGTTTTCATGCTCTTTTGGTCAACTCCCTCCGTGGTTTAGTTTTCATTTCGCACGGTGTTCTGTCCGTCCACGCTTCGTCCTCGGTCCCTAAGACACATATACCGACCTGCAGCAGCCCAAAATTAATCCA